AAATGAATTTATTATTGTTCTTATTTATTAATGGATATAATGAATAGCAAATAAAGCTTACAAAGATATTTCCATGGTATACGAACAGGCTACATCTGGAGCCAACTGCAATGAGCACTGATATCTTACATAATTGATCCTGGCAGTTACTGACAGCAAGAAGAAAGAAGTAGGAGGTTTGTGCCAGGAACAGTCTCAGAGTTCCCATGAGCTATTGCAGTCTCCAAAGCTTAGGCATATTAAGTTTTACAATTGTCTCTGAGATAATTCTCCAGATAGGAACTGAGCGTAATTGTATTTCACAAAGATATTTTTTGTATGGAAGCAGACTGCTGGTGTGCCTAGCATAAACGTGGTTCTTGGTTTAAGTATCATTAAGTCCTGTGATGCTGCTGCAATGAAGGCCTGACAACCTGGCCGTGTTCCTGATTTGCAACAGAGGATACTTCTGTTTTAAAGTCATTCTCATTCAGTCCTTCTGTTTTCATGGTTTAGGATTGCACTGAATCTTAAAGTCAGGCATGAGTTTACTTTCCAGTCATGTCAAGCATATAATTTTCAAGTTATAATGTTGCATCACTGGACTTATACAAGATTTATAAAATTCTAATGTTAGTGGTAAAGAAAAACTCCAAGCTTTCTTGATGATTCACAGTACGTATTCTACTATTCTAAAAATCATTATCATTACTTGGGAAGGGATATACTAGCACTGGAGGGGGTGCAGAGGAGACTCACTCGGTTGATTCCAGAGTTGAGAGGGTTGGATTATGAGGAGAGACTGAGTAGGCTGATTGGAATTCAGAAGAATGAAGGGAGATCTTATAGAAACATATAAGATTATGAAGGGAATAGATAATGTGGAGGCAGGGAGGTTGTTTTCACTAGCAGGTGAAACTAGGACTAGAGGGCATCGCCTCAAAATAAAGGGAAGCAGATGTAGGACTGAGGTCAGGAGGAACTTCTTCACCCAAAGGGTTGTGAATCTGTGGAATTCCCTGCCCAGTAAAGCGGTTGAAGCTACCTCGCTGAATGTTTTTAAGGCAAGGCTAGATAAATTTTTGAACAGTACAGGAATTAAGGGTTATGGTGAGTGGGCAGGTAAGTGGAGCTGAGTCTCAAAAAGATCAGCCAGGATCTTACTAAATGGCGGGGCAGGCTGGAGGGGCCGGATGGCCTACTCCTGCTCCTAGTTCTTATGTTCTAAATGTTCTAAATGTTCTTGCATGAAGTATACTTGACTTGATGTGATTTTCTGTATGTTAGCCCATTTAATATATACTGCGGAGTCAAGTTCTTATTGAGACGGATATCTGGAAGTTTATTTACTTATTTAGAACTAACCATGTATACTAATATGACATCGCAGACTTAACCTTTTAACTTAACAGAGGATAATTGACAAAGAGCCACAAAAAAGGTTTTTATAGAAATTAAAAGCTCATGGTGTTGAGGTAACATATTGGCATGATAGAAGATTGGCTAGCTAACAGGAAACAGAGTAGAAATAAATGGAGATTTTTCAGGCTGGTAGGATATCATGACCAGTGTGCCAAATGGATAGCTGCTGGGGCTGCAACTCTTTACAATTTATATCAATGAATTGGATGAAGGGACTGAAGATATAGTAGCTGAATTTGCTGATGACATAGAGATAGGAAAGTGAATTGTGAAGAGGACACAAGGAACTTAGAAACAAATGTAGACGGGTTTAGTGAGTGGACAAAATCTGGCAAATGGACTATAATGTGAGAAAATTTGAAATTGTCCACTTTGGCAGAAAGAATAAAAAAGAAGCATATTATTAAGTGGTGAGAAGTTGCAGAGCTCTGAGATGCAGCGAGATCTGGGTGTCTTAGTGCATGAATCCCCGGAAGTTAGTATGCAGGGACAGCAAGTCATCGTGAAAGCAAATAGAAAATTATGTTTTCTTCCAAGGGAAATTGAATGCAAGAGTAGGAGATTATGCTTTAGTTATACAGGGCATTGGTGAGATTGCATCTGGAGCATTGCATACAATATTGGTCACTGCAATTATGGAAGGATGTTAATGCATTGGAAACAGTTCAGAGAAGATTTACCAGTCTAATCTCTGGAATGAGCAGATTGCCTTATGAAGAAATGCTAGACAGGCAAGGCCTGTATTCTCTAGATTTTGAAGAGTCAGAGGTGACTTAATTGAAACATATAAGATCCTGAGGGGACCTGAACAGGTGGATGTGAAAAGGATGTTGATTTTTGTGGGAATATCTAGAACTAAGGGTCATAGTTTAAAAATAAGAGGCTGCTCGTTTAAGACAGACATGAGGATTTTTCTTCCCTCAGACGCTTGAGAGGCGTTGGAGTTCCCTACCTTAAAAGGCAGTGAATGCAGAATGTTTAAATATTTTTGAGGTGGAGGTAGATGGATTTTTGATTAGCAGGGTGATGGGGAATTGATGGGGGTATCCAGGAGTGTAGAGCTGACGTTAAAATCAGATCAACCATGATCTTATTAAATGGAAGAGCAAGCTTGACCGACCAAGTGTTCATTGTTCATATGTTTGTAACATAAGAGTCTCGGCTCTTTGCTTATTTATATTACTGTTACATATTGTACACAGTTGACTGGCTGACTAACTGACTTCCTGTTAGTCTGACTAGCTGCTGTTTTACTGCTTAACTGACCAACTAACAGCAGAGACAATAAGACAATAAGATGGAGACATTTTATACTGTAGTGTCACATGTCACAGTGTTATCCAGCTATTTTGAGTGTAGTGCCTTTCTGAGACCTGAACAATAATACAACAGTATTTACTTGTTTGTCATGATTTAATATATATGCTCATTTTTAATGCACTGTTGAATGTTTTTATGTTCAGTTTTCAGTGATTTAAACTCGGTCCTTCTTTAAGCAATAATTTAACCATTCTCTGAAGAGTGGCATCTTCAAAGATTACAGCATCACTTTTATGTCTGTATGGAAAAGTTCATGCAATGTCCCATACTGTCATTGTGCATCTAGTGCACATCATCACCTATATCTATCCAAATCCCCTTCCTTGCCATGCAATGCCTCCAGAGAAGCAGAACGTCAGTATAAAACAACCAGCTTCCAGGGGATCAAACAAATGCCAGAAGGCCACAGAATCCAGGAGACACATTTACCAACCTACTTGCAATTATGTTGGCCACTCTTAGGAAATCATTTTGAATACTTGCATTGAGTTAGCAATCTTTGCATGAGTTGGCATCTTGTTTCAAACAGCAACACTTTGTAAAAGAAAGATGCCTCTTAACATCTAACCTTGTTCTAAGCTCATGTAACGACTACTTATGTCTCATCATCCTCCCTAGCCTTTCTACTAAATCAATTTATACACATAGGCTGAATTTAATCCTTACCTTAAAGATAAATATTAAGGAAAATTGTGGCAAAATCTTCCTACCAAAAATACCACAGTTTTCACATTGAATTAATTATGCTGGGCTGGCATGTCCTCTGACCCCACTCAGCCTGCTCCACCCCCCCAACACACACCACTTGTCCTCCTCACTTCACCTTCCTGTCTTCCTCACCATATTCTATCTACTCCCCTTCTGCACCATCTGCGGTACCTGTGAATATAGAACATATATACCACAACAATAACATTGTAGGACCAAAATTCACAATGGGTAATGCAACTGTACAAAGGCTTAATGTGTCTGCAGCAAGTTTTGTGCAGTTTTAGTGGCGGGATTAGAATAAATGACAACCCTCTTTTAAAATAGTGGTAAGGGGAGGAGCTTGTCAGATAACTATGTAGTATCACAATCCTAGATCATTGATTCTGTAAGATAGAAAAATGCTAAATAAAAGTACTAAAACAGCTGAAGGCATATTTCTATGCTCACTCCCAATCCTACCATCACATCTTCGGTTCCCTTAAGGTTTTCTGCTTCTGTAATGATCTCATATCTGCCCTTTCTATTCTCCTGCTCAATGAAGGTGATAAAAGGGTTCAAATCTTTATAGCTCCTATCTTTCGCTCTCTTCTCGGAACAAAATATTCTTTGTTTTCCTTCTAGTCAGATTGACACTCTCACCACTTTTCCCAGTACGGCATCGTTCACTGAATCACAGCTGTATCTGCTCGTACCCCTAAGTAGAACTATTCATCCATTTTTCTTTCAGTTTCCATATGTGTGTGGTTCATCATCGATTTTCCCGTCTTTGATTTCTCTGTCTCAATTTCTGGGGATAAGCTGACAACAGATGTTCACAGCAAGACCACTGACATCTGCAGAGAGATGTCCACAAGTTGGTCTAAGTTTTAGATGAACAATAAATTTAGCTACTTTAATAAAACTGAGCATTACCAGTTAGCTCAATTGGCTGAATGGCTGGTTTGTGATGCAGAGTGACATCAGCAGTGTGGGTTCAATTCCTATACTAGCTAACGTTACCATGAAGGACTGCCCTCACCTCAGGTGTGGTGACACTTCGGTCAAACCAGCACCAGTTGTCTCACTGTAATGAGCAATGGAGTTTCTTCTCCCAGATAATAGTGGATCTGTGGAGTTCTTTACTGCAGAGGGCTGCTGAGATGCAACCACAGGGCTGGCACGGTGGCTCAGTGGTTAGCACTGCTGCTTCACAGCACCAGGGACCTGGGTTCAATCCCACCATTGGGCGACTGCCTGTGTGGAGTTTGTACGTTCTCCCTTGTCTGTGTGGATTTGCTCCAGTTTTCTCCCACAGTCCAAAGATGTGCAGGCTGGGTGGATTGGCCATGCTAAATTACCCTGTAGTGTATAGGGGGATGGGTCTGGGTGGGATGCTCTGAGGGTCAGGTGTGGATGTGTTGAGCCAAAGGGCCTGTTTCCACACTGTAGGGATTCTATAATTCTATGAAAACCATTTCCAAGAAGAAGCCTTTAACATTTTTTAAAATCAATATCAAATTGTGTGTTTATGTATTGGTCCAAAGTTTGATTCAATAATCTTTACCCTTCCACATTATTGCTTTTTAAAGGCCTATCTGTTTGAACTTGGCTCCAGTAATTTCATCCACAAGTTATCGGGACATACAGAGACTGTCATTACTTTGGCATTTAGCTCTTCTGCACCAAAGGTAATCTATTTTCTTCTAATCTCTTGAATAAATTGACCACTTGACAAACAAGTGGAATACTATGTATGATACAATGATGTAATGGATCAGAATCGGTAATTTGATAGTTTGTACTGAAGATCTTGTGAATTAGTTCTGAACTTGTAACATGCCAAAAAATCTGCAAATGCTGCTTTGCTATCAGTTGAACAAATCTTAATAATACCAGTATTTAGTGGGTAAAACTGAAACCATTTTTCTTTTGTTCTTGTCCCCATGTTTTGGTCATTTGAATGCCATGACTTACGTTACAATTGTAACAATTTGAAAGGGTATTGTAGAATGGTTTGCTTAATAACTTTTATTAATGAACAAATTAGTTTTGCAGTTATTTTGGTGACAGGAAGAGTACTTGAACCCTGGAAGAACTAATTTGTGAAGGATTAGCATTTATGCTCAATATGGAGTGCAATAACTGTAGCAGCAATCGTGTCCTTCTAGGTCATGGAAGTTGATCGTTTTGGGAGGTGCTGCTTTAGACATCTTAGCAAAGCATCTTACAACTTGCTGCAGTGCATCCTGCCAGAGTACACGCAGGAGCCTCAGTGCACCAGTGGAGCTTCATCAGCCTGATCTTTGCTGATTTACTCTTCTTTTCCTTTGCAGAAGTATTTTTTCTTTCATTACTTTTAATGGCAATATGTGGGGAATTATGGCATCAAATCCGTGTCATATCAATCATCAAGCAGTGCATCAAAGTTCCAATGTACCATGTCTCCCCGCTACCCTGTTGTAATTCCTATTGAAGACCAAAACAGCTATGGGATAAATTAGCTCTTCTATACTTATAGGAATAAGATTGCAGAGCATAAAAAGGATGCAATTCAAGGAGGTTTGTATCACAAAAGCCTGAACAACAAGAGTCAACATTGATCAATAAAAGCAAACCGTGTCTGACATATAAGATCTGTGAATGTATCAGATCAGGTATTTTCCTTATGTTAAAAAGGAAACAGTTTAGAAGTTGCTCCTGGGATTTAGCTCAAATTCATAATATAGCTTTGTTTTTCTGTACTGTGAGTAAAGGAACATCAGAACATAAGAAATAGGAGCAAGAGTAAGTCATTTGTTTCCTCAAGCGCACAGCACTGGTCACTAAAATCATGGCTGATATGAGATAACAAAGTGTGGAGCTGAATGAACACAGCAGGCCAGGCAGCATCAAATGAGCAGGAAAGCTGACTTTTCAGGTCTGGACCCTTCTTCAGAAAACAAAAGGGTCCAGACCCAAAACGTCAACTTTCCTGCTGCTCTGATGCTGCCTGGCCTGCTGTGTTCATCCAGCTCCACACTTTGTTATCTCAGACTCCAGCATCAGCAGTTCCTACTATCTCTATGGCTGATATGATATGCCCTTCATTCTGCTTTCTTGCTTAGAGTCCATGATCCTTGACTCCTTAGTCAATCAATAATATGTCTAACACAATCTTGAATATATTCAATGACGTAGCCTCTTGTGCTTCTGGTGGAAGAGAATTACAAAAGCTATAAAATGCTTAATGTTGTCTATGATGGCAAACTATTTTGTGGTAGCAAATTGGAAGAGTTGTTGGAGAATAATGAAGGCCCATTATAAAACTTGTAAATTATTCTCGGATTGGCATCAAAACATAGGGCATTGTATCATGTGATCAGTAACACATCCATCAGTATAGAGAGGTCCCACAGTTTCAACCCCTTTGTATTTACCTGAAAGAATATTGAACAATGCGTCATCTTGGTGGTTGGCCTCAAACAGACTTTGGACTTCAGAGTTCCAGCTAAAGATGTCCAATAAGAACCAGCAGCTTCCCAATGTAACCATGGGGACTTCCGTCGTACTGAGGATCTGGACAAGTGACCAATAAATAAACATCATGAGAGACTGTTTTGAGATGCTTGGTTTAGCATTACTGAGTCCCCATAATCTCTCTTAACTGATTCAGCTAATATTTCTTTTACTTCAGTGATGGAGAAATTTCAATAGAATCAGAAAAATTTGGGAAAGGGGATACTCAATCCTAAATCTTCAAATATTGAACCAAACTATATTAAGGATATTTATTTCCAGAACATATTATTCTTAATGTCATTCAAAGTGTCTGCGTCTCTGATATTTCATGGTTGAAACTATCAATATAGAATGATCGCCTGTGGCCTTTGCTTATCACACCAGCATTTTCACAAAAATCCCTATTATTTCACCTCATCTATCTATATTTAGCTAACAAGCCCATCATTCTGGTCTCCCTGCTGTAAGAAAGAGGTTGTTAAACTTGAAAGGTTTCAGAAAATATTTACAAGGATGTTGCCAGGATTGGAGGGTCTGAGCTACAGGGAGAGGCTGAATAGGCTGGGGCTATTTTCCCCAGAGCATCGGAGGCTGAGGGGTGACATTATAGAGGTTTATAAAATCATGAGGGGCATGGATGGGGTGAATAGCCAAGCTTTTTTTCCCAGAGTAGGGGAATCCAAAGCTTGAGGGCATGGGTTTAAGGTGAGGGGGAAAGATTTGAAAAGGATCCGTGCAGCAACTTTTTCATGAAGAGGGTGGCGCGTGTACAGAACGAGCTGCCAGAGGATGTGGTAGTTTGTACAATTACAACATTTAAAAAGCGTCTGGGTGGATACATGATTGGAAGTGTTTAGATGAATATGGGCCAGATGCTGGCAAATGCGACTAGATCAGTTTAGGATATCTGGTCGATTCAGATGAGTTAGACCAAAGGGTCTGTTTCTGTGCTGTATAACTCTATGATTCTATGACCGTTCAGATTGCTCTCCAGCATTGCATAGCTTCGTTTCATTGCTGACTACAAAAACTATTGCTGGACAGTTAGGAAAGGGAAATCACTGAGTTCTGATTGTCACCCATGGGTCTCTATGGTCAGGTCTGCGTGTAGAAATGTAAGCTGCTTAGAGAATGCATAAAGGAAATGTTGCTAGTTCCATGATTCTCTAGCCAGTGCATGGAACCGCACTGTTACAAAAAGTTACAAACCAAATTTCATTCATTTATTTGCTATTCATGAAATCTTAACAGTCATATTGTTGGCCTATATCACAATAATGGATTGCTTTTCAAAAATAACCCATTGATTGTAAAGTATTTTGGCATGAACTGTGAAAGTGCTAGCCACTCCCATTAGTGATCTGAGCATTTTCCATTTAGTTCAGTACCCGTGTTGTTGAATATCTGGACCAGAGACAATGGGCTAAATGGTCAATTTCTGGACTGTAACCATTCTATCATGCTGTAATTGTAAAATAAAATGACCCAACAATTTTATTATCTGTGATTGGAGTTGGATGTTTGTGTTGTCCACCTTATTGCTTCTTCAAAATATTTGAAGATGGTGTCAGGAACCATTTATTGGGACGAGGCGAGAGGCGGTTTGATGGTCTGCTTTATTTTTCAACAAGTCAACAGGTTCAGATCTACCTGGCTGTGTATACCTGACATCTACAATGTGTTTTCCTAAATAAATAAAATTATAAACACATTGCAAACACCTCCAGGAAGTGACTTTTAACTCCACACTTGTATTCCCCTTCTCAGAGTAGTAGAAATGTCCCTTGTAGCTTGCAACTTAATGAACACAACTACTTGCACAAGTTTAGTTGAAACTGACTGTCTGCTTGTACCTTTTGTCTCTGTCTTTTTATCAACATCTTTTCATTCACATCTTGTAAAGAATTGCTACCAGATATGCTTTTTAAAATCTGGGAGAAAAAAATTTCCAATGCATTGGGTAATTGGTGTTTCTCTAGTTATGACACAAGCTTATAAGAAGGCAGTGGTGTAGTGGTAATCTCATTGGGCGAGTAGTCGTCTAAGGACTTGAGTTTGAATCTCACCGTGGCAGTTGGTGAAATTTTAACTGTGGAAGTGACGCTTGTGGTGCAGTGGTAGTGTCCCTACCTCTGACCCCTAAGGCCTGGGTTTAAATCCCACCTGCTCCAGAGCTGTGCAGTAATCTTTGAACATGTTAATTAGAAAATATCAACAGATTGATATGGTGTCCTGTTCTACTGAAAGCAACTATCTTTGCCATATTGACAGCCTTTCGTCAAGGTGCCTTTTTGCCAAGCTTCACAGAATCAAAGAATTGTGACAGCAGAAATGGAGTTCATTTGGCCCACTGTAATTGCATCAGCTGTCTGACCATTTTGACTTTGTGCCATTCATTTTTCCTCCATAAGCCTGCATTTTGTTTCTATTAAATAGCCATCTATTGCTTTCTTGAATGCCTTGACCTGTACAAATGTATTTTGATATTGTTCCTAAGACATTGATATTAAAATCAAAATTCACATGTGGAATAACTTTAAAACAATCTAAAGCAGTGGTGCATCAATTCAGGTTCTAGCTTATGTGGGTAAAAATGTGGGTATCTTAATTTTGGGAATTTTCATCTAAGGTTTCTCTCCGTGAGCTCCAGCGAGTTTTCTCACACAATTTTATGCTGCTTACTTCACGAAGCATGCACCACACCTCCATGGCACTATTTCTGCATTATCTTGCACTCCTTAGTGCCATTGCCTTGACATTCACGTCGCAGCCGCAATACATCAAATGCAGCTGCACACCTGGCCATATGCTGCAAGCCAGGATTAGCCCTTCACAGTTCCAGTATGTGTGAATCACCTAGGGTTGTGGATAATAGAGGCAAATTGGTACCCTGGTTTGCGGACAGGGATCTGGAAGCCCTATTGCATGGGGTGGTAGAGCGAAATGTTTTCCTCTTGCCTCAGGACTTCATAGGAGACTACGATACCTGACCTTATCAGCCTGGTCGAAAGTTACTAGTTGAGTCAGTTGGGTCAGTGCCGTTTCTATGATTAGGAGGAATGCCCTGCAGTGCAGGAAGAGTGTTAACAACCTTCTGCCCTCTGCCAGGATAAATGTCACCATCGTTTCTCTGCTACCTCACACTGACCCTAACTCTGCCACTCCACCCACTTCCTACCAAGGTTCATGA